TTTAATGACTTTTATTCAAATTGGTGCACCAACTAGTAATGCCAAAGATAAAGAAATTGAAGAATTCTACTAACTTCTGCAGTCTGATACTGCTAAAACATGCAATCAAGATGTATTGATAATTAATGAAGATTGGAATGTGAAAGCTGGAATAAAGAAAGATATAAAATGACACCAGAGATCACGTTAGAATTTTGTGAGCTCAATGACCTATTTAATAGCACCATTTTAAAACAATATTACAGCAACTATACACATGGACATTGCTAGATGTACTATAAAGTAATCAAATGTATGTTATCTGTGGAGACAATAGAGAAACTCATTATCATTAGCCTAAAGAAGACCAGAATGGACTGCTGAAAAGACTATCAACATGCAATTTGAAGCTGAAGAAAATTAAAACAAGTTTGTGAACGTCCAAATATATGTCCCACCAAACTGTATGTCCCACCAAAATTTAGAGAACATGCCAATAATATATTTGACATATTAAGCACTAATGACCAATGGCCAGATGAGTTGTGGAATGACACACGAAGAAAGCAAAAGGTCATTTAAAAGAGTGTGAAAGAAAGAAAACATGAATGTCAGAAAAGACCTTGAAACTTGCTCTTGAACATAGAGTAGTTAAAGTGACTGGAAGAATGGATGATGTAAGAAAGAACAGAAGATTACGAAGGGTAGCTCAAAAAGGCAAAGGTAAGTATGACGAGATGTACAAACAAGGAATTACAAAACAAAAGGAAAGAACACACTAAATTTCTCGATCTGAAAGAACTGAAAAATACGTTCAAGCCTTGAGTTTCAATGTTGGCGGATTCTATGGCAAAATATTGAACGATGCAGAAAGCACCAAAGGAAAATGGAAAAAATATATAATAGCTGCACTGCGCCCCCTGCAAAAGATCAATGTTCAACCATTTCAGAAGGTCAAGAACTGATGATATTGAAGGAAGAAGTCCAAGCTGCACTGAAGGCATTGGCAAAAAAAAAAGAAAAAAGGAGGGGGCTAGCTCCAGCAATTGACCACTGAGATGTGTCAACGGATGCAATCCTGGAAGCATTCACTTGCCAATGGCAAGAAATTTGGAAGACAGCTGTGCCCATTTCAAAGAAAAGTATCCCAAAAGAATATAGAAATTATCAAATAGAATCATTAATATCATATGCAATTAATTTTTTCCTGAGATGAGCAAGAAGCAGCTGCAACAGTACATTGACAGAGAGCCACCAAAAATTCAAGACAGAGTCAGAAGATGATGTGGTACAGTGGATATTACTATTGGTGCCGGATGGATCTTGGCTGGAGGCAGACCATATGAGAAAAGTGTTTACCCGTATTTTTACTACACAAAGGCATTGTGCTATGTAGATCATGACAAATTATGGATAACTGTGCAAAGAATATTAATTCTAGAATATTTAATTTTGCTCATGTGGAACCTGTATATAGAAAAAGAGACAAGTCATTCCAACAGAACATGGGGATATTGAATCATTTCAAATCAAACAAGGTGTTCATCAGGGTTATATCCTTTCACTATAATTATTCAATCTGTGTGCTGAGCAAACAATCTGAAATGCTGGACACTTTGAAGCAGAATACAGTATCAGGATTGGAAGAGACTCACTGACAACCTAATATTTACAGATATCACAGCCCTGCTTATTGAAAGCAAAGTTGGGCTGGAAGCACTTACTGATAAAGATCAAAGTCTTCAGGATGGGTTACACCACAACACAAAGAAAATAAAAATCCTCATAACTGCGTGAATATTAAATATCATGATAAGCAGGGAAAATACTGATTTTTTCTAAGATCTCATTTTATTTGGATCTACAATCAATGATCATGAATGCAGCAATTAAAAAATCAAATAATGTGTTGTATTGAGCAAATCTGCTGCAATGCTGCTGCACTGTTGTTAGGTACCATCAACTCAGTTCTGACAGTCTGGTCCTGCACCATCCTCTCAACTGTTTTGATGTTTGAGTCCACTGTCATTGCCACTGTGTCAACTCATCTTGTTGAATGGCTTTCTCTCTTTCTAGTTTACCAAGCACGAGGTCCTTCTCCAGGTCTCTCCTGACAATATTTCCACAGTGCGTAAGACAACATCTCACCATTCTTTCCTCTAAGGGGCATTCTGCCTGTACTTCTAAGGTAAATCTGTTGGTTCTTTGGCAGTCCATGATTACTTTCAATATTCTTCACCAGCATCATAGTTCAGATGCATCAATTCTTCTTCGGTCTTCCTTATTCAGTGGCCAACTTCCACACTCCTGTGAGGCCATCGGAAATACCATGGCTTGGGCCAAGCATTGCGTAGTCCTCAGAGTCACACGCTTCAATTTTCAACACTTACAAGAGGTCTTGTGCAGCAGATTTCCCTAATGGCTTGATTTCTTAACTGTTGCTTCTATGCGCACTGATGTGGATCCAAACCAGAAGAAATCCTTCAAAGCTTCAATCTTTTCTCCATTTATCATGATGTTGCCTATTGGTCCATCTGTGAGGATTTTTGTTTTCTTTACATGGGGAGACTAGAAGTCCGAATTTAGAGCATCAGCTCTTAGGGAAAGGTTTTATTTTTCTGATGTCTCTTGGAGGAAAGTCTTTGTCTCTTTTCAATATTTGTGGGCCTGGCATTCTTTAGAAGTCTACATGTGTCTTGGCATCAATCTTCAGATTGCTAATGGCCATTTGTTCTCATTTTGATCCTTGCTATATCAGCACATGATGCAGCCTAAACCTTTCCTCCCTCCACGCTATTAAGGGCGATTCTATTTGAGGTGGCAGTTCTTCTTCAGTCCGACCTGGGAGGATCATATTTCTTACAGTATATTAGACAGTGTTCCACTACTGTTTATTAAGGTTTGGGATCATCAGTTTTGGGGTGGAATTAGATCACCAGGTCCTCCTTCCTCATCTGTCTTAGTCTGGAAGCTCTGCTGAAACTTGTCAACTCTTGGTGATACTGCTGGTCTTTGAAACTCTGGGGGCTTAGCTTTCAGCTTCACAGCAAATAGCAACCCATGAACAAAGTGCTGGAAGTTTGACCTATTACAACAAACTCACAAGTATTGGGTATTCTAAGAAATGCTTTATAATGACAATCTACTTAATAATAATTAAATTTGATAATAATATATGTTCTTGGCATTGTGTCTAGCTACTCACAACATCTCTGGGAGTTTTGAGCAAGACTTTGTGAACAAGACTGCAGTCATTTCTATTTAGGTCAGCCATATTTGAGTAGAATCAGTGTTGTTCATCATTTACCATTTTGAATTCTTCTTGGTCTTTGAATTGGCCTCTCCAGATTTCTCCTCTGCTGTATAAGATTGATAAAGAGTGGTCAATGGTAAACTTGTAAAGATAATGAATTGTAAATTCTTTATAATGAACTCATGATGCTTTCTGAATTCACTGTTTTGTGACGGTGTAACCTATCATGTGTCTTAAGAAGGATAGATGACTTATACATAACTAGTGATTATTAGTGATTATTATTAGAAGAAATTAGTATAAATATGACTCATAAATTAGTATATTTCAAGTACCCACTACACTGCCGTTGTTGCTGCCAATACTCCTTTGGCAAACTTATGAATAAACCAGTTTTTCTCTTTCTCTGTTTCACTTGGAGCTGGAACTAGTTAGGCTCATTGCTTCAGGGCATGGACCCAATATTTGGGGTACCAGCCTGTGCCTTAGTCATCATTACATTACATTTTAATTTTAATTATTCCATAATATTTGAAAAGCTAAAAACTTTAATCTAAAATGTTAAGTCATATTTATGAACATTATATTTTAAGATTCTTTGGTTTTTAGAAGAAAAAATTTTGTGATTTAAAAAATAAAATGCTAGGAGAAGGCATTTTTGTTTTAAATTTCAGGTGAATATCCCTGTGATAGTCACCTAATCTGGTGTCAATTTGAGGACTAAGAGTGTAGGGGTGGAGTCTAGGCTGTCAATCTGGAGATAGCCAATGAGACTTCTGTGTGGGCGTGGCCTTCTGAGAATTCTGGGAAATCTGGTACTTCCTCCTTGGAGGCAGAAGACTCCTCTCTCTGCTACTCCCTGGGAGACATTGCAGAAGAGAAGCCACATGGATGCAACCAGACCTCTGAAGCCAGAGAACCACAGAGAGACCCCTACCAGCTCTGAGATGCTTACACCACGGGACCCAAAGACTTTCCACCCACTGGCTTGTGATCGTCCTGCATTTGGCGGCATTGCATGTGTTTCATGAGTCTGAAGAGGACTTTATAGATTGATATCGGACATATGGGCTAATATTGGACTTATGGACTTGATCTGGACTAGGCTGGGATGTTTTCTCCATGTTCAATTCCTCTTGTATATAAATCTCTTTCTTATTCACATATGTGTGTCTCTAAATTTGTTTCTCTACTCTACCCAGACTAACATAACCCCTGAGGAGATGGATTGACACAGGATGTACAACAAGGAGCTCAAACATAAGACAATTTACAAGGATGGTGCAGAACTGGGCAGTGTTTCCTTCGGTTGCTGATGGGGTCGCTCTGATTCAGCACCTAACAACAATGACCTCCCAATTGGAGGGAGAATACTGTGCTTGTTAAAGCCATCCACTTGTGGTATTTGTTATAGCAACACTAGCTGGTTAAGACACCAAGTAGATTATAGAGTACCCATGAAACAAGGAGCAGATCGAAACCATCAGCTACTCCTTGGGAGAAAGACAGGGCTTTCTACTCATATAACAAGTTACAGTCATGGAAACCCACAGGGAGAGTTCTACCCTGTCCGAAAGGGTCTCTGTGGGTGTGCATCTACTCAATGGCAGTGTGTTTGAGGGGTTTTTTTGGTTTGTTTGTTTTAAATGAAATAATGAAGTAGCACTACATTTCAATTCTGAATGTACTAATGGCATCTTGCATAAATATCTTCTATCAGTATGCATAAGTAGAGATTTCAGTGGAGTTTACTTTTGGTCAAATACAGCACAGTATTGCTATGCAGAATGGGAAACTGGATGGAAGTCACTTGGAAAGCAGTTCACAGCAAGCCCCATTGACTCCTCCCAACACGCCGGACCCACGAAGCCCCCCAAATCCTGATAACATCGCACCAGGTAACCTATACCTTTACAAATAAATCAATAAAATCACTGTCTATCTAAAGAAGCCTTTATTAAATTATATTTAGATGACAGATTTTCTAACTCACTAGATTTTCTTTTTTAATAAATTGAACATAAATGTAAACATTCAGTCTAAGAGGAGACATGTAAAAACATTTGTAGAAGCCATCAGTTCTTTCAGATGATGCTTGGCATTTGCTAACAAGCCTCTCATCTTTAAAATTTTAGTCTTTTGTAATTATTATTGAGACTATACTTGTATAAAGCTTTATGAGTTATCTTGACACATATTGTCTTCTTTACTTTCATAAAACTCTTGACATACATATTTATTTCAACTCTCCATTCACAAACTAAGAAACTGAGGTTATGAATGTTAGTTCTGCTGCTCACGAATCAAACCCTGGTCTTCTGGGTCCAGATTTAAGATGCCTTGAGATGAAGTAAAGTTGTGGTGATCGCTTTAGGTAGTCTCCATTTCTCACAACGATTGAAAATGAAATTTCTTTAAAAGAAAAGCCAATCCTTGGCCAATCAATTTAGTGCATATGACCTTGTTAGATTTTGAAAAAAAAAAAAAAATCAGGAAAAAAAATCTAATCAACTTAAATAATACCTTTTCAACTTTTAAACAAATTCTGGTATTTCCTCAAGAGTAATGTATAATATCAGTTTTATTTACTTTCAAAAAAATACTTTCATCTTGAAATTACAATGTTTGTGTAATAGTTTTGTGTAATAAATAAAAAATGAATTTAGCAAAAGTACTTCTAGAAATCTCAAATAGCAATCTTGTGTTTGAAAACATGTAAGATTAAGCAGCAGTATAATAGTAAATCTTATTTTGACATAAGTTGAGTGTTAGCCATTACTGAGCTTAGATTTATACTGGCATTCTTAGTGAACCCTGTGAGAAAAACATAGGTCTTGTACTTTATCTTTCAGCACATGATTAAAATGAATAGAATTCTGAAATGAAGTATTGTAATGAGATTTCCAAATATCTTTTGACCAAAATTATGAAAGAAACTGGGAGTGGGCTAAAAAATTACAGCATTAAGTACATGAGAGAAACATGCTTCATAATAAGACATATCTGGATTTTAAACTTTTGTTTTTCCCAAGCACTCCTCTGTTTTACTGCTAGATTAGAAAGAAAATAAATCTCTTTACGGCTCATTTTCCTCAATCTGTAAAGCAAGAAAAATAGATCTCACTGTACAGGGTCATTGTGAGAAGTAACTGTGATCATATAAGTATAGTACCAAACATAAAAGAGATATTTAGTTAAGGCTCATCCTTTCCCCTATTATCCCATACATCTTTAACATATAATACAGTAAAGTATATATGATCTCTTAATATCAACCCCTGTACTGCAATCCCTTGCTATATACATTTGCTTGTTTGGGTTTTCTTGTGTTTTGCTTTTATTAGGTAAGATGGGGAACACTTGTGAAAAGTTGTGTTGATATAACTTGGTCATCCCTCACTGATAAATATTTTTCTATGGTCAGAATCATATGCAATGAAAGTTCAAAAGGAATAGAAAGATTCATCTCTACACTCAAAGGATTCAGCCTCTAAGAAGGGAGACAAGACAAATGTCCAAATTGTATTTATAGTCTCATTTTCTCAGATGTAATTTAATATCATACACACATTTTATTCACTGTTAAGAACATATTTGTGTATACCTATAAAATAGAAATTTCTGAAAGGTTATCAAATATCTTTGCTATTTAGCTCTAAAAAAAGGGAGCACTCTTACTTGGGATGAACAGCATATCTACCATTGAGCTTTAAAGAAAAACGTGAGTGTTATTGGGTAGCTTCCCATAAAGCAAAAGGAATGGGGGCCTCTTCTGGATTGCCAAAAGTACAAATTCTCGGTGCAAGCTATACCTGATTCCAATTTAGTCAAATTGAGTTTTTAATAAATAAACCAAATATGTATCCAAAAGCCAACTTCTCTCAATGAGTATTAAGGGGTCATAATGTTGTAGGAATGAAATTCCCTGGAATTGAAATAAGTTTTATTAAAATGTACATTTAAAATTTAAATGAAAAGTGTTGACATATAGCATTGCTGGATTGCCATACTTCTGAGAGGTTAGATAATAGAAACATTATTTAATAAATAGCAAATAAGTAATCCAATATGTAATAATAAAATGTAAGTGTAGAAAAAACTTATTAGCAATCATACCTATAATAATGAAATTGGAAATTCTTGAATGTTCAAGAAATAGGAAAAGATTAAATAAACATAACCTTCAATTTCATAGATTATCATGACGCCCTTCAAATGATTACAGATATGATGTAGAAACATCTGAAAGTATTTCAAAGTTGAAGAACAGTAAAATTTATAGCTGCATGTATGCTAGGATTATAATTAAAGTTATATGAAAATTATGTTTGTGGGTCAAGAAAAACTGGAAGAAAGCAAAAATAAAAGTAATTGTGCTAGGGACCTCTAGGAGTTAAAAAGTACATATTGTGCAATTTTAAATGATTGTTTCTATGTCACAGACCTCAGATCGGTACTAAGAAAGGAACAGGAAATAAAATATGGTCGTTAGGATAATGGTGGTATATAGAATATACAAAGAGAAGACATGGGAAGGAAATCTGATTTCCCAGGGAAGACAGGAATGACTGCACAGAAGTGGTAAGCTCAGGCGTAGAAGTGAAATAGGAATTCAAAGATGACCAGAATTAGGAGCACACTCCAGGCTTGGGAAACAAACAACATGCACCAAGAAGGACCACATGAGAAGACCCGAGACATAAAGAAAGCACAGAGTGGCAGGAGCCAAGGCTGGACAAAGGGCATAGGACCCTGAGTACTGAAGCTTCCTCTTGGAGAGCCATGATAACAACGGAACCCAGAAACAAATGGCAGAATCAAGGGCAATTAGAAAGGTCATCTGAGCAGCAGTATGGAGGGTGGATTGAAGAGGCTTTGAATGTTTGAAAGCCTTGATGGACATCAGTATGAGCCCAATGGGAGGAAAGCCAAGGAAGAGATGGACAGGCCTGATCGAAATGAAGGGCAGAATGATGTTGTTGGCGCTGGTGGCACAGTGGTTCAAAGAGCTTGGCTGCCAGTCAAAAGGCCGTTCTAAGCAGACTGCCACACCTTTCTCCCACCCGCTGTTCTGAGGGGGAAAGAAGTGGCTGTCTGTTTCCGTAAGAATTGACTACACTGCGCTGAAAACCCTGTGGGGCAGTTCCACTCTGCTTGTTTCACTCCATCATCTAGGGTTGGGCTGACTCCATGATCATTGTTTTTGCTACTGCTGTGGTTGTTGTTGGGGACAATTTGCAAGCCTCCTGCATAGCACTGGAAGAAGAGATTTTTAAATTTTTGAACCATATCTGGAATCTCTATACAAGTATTTATGAAGTAAGCAAAGAAGCCTATCAACACAACCAGAGACAATTAGAAGAAAGACAGAGACAATTAAAAGAAAACAAAATAACCCCAAACAACCCTTCGCTGCACAGAAGATGAATTATCAAGAAAGTTTTTTTTTGTTTGTTTGTTGTATTTCCCAAAGAAATACAGTCCTTAATGTAAAGAGAGAGATACTTTTCACTTGTAGGGAGAAGACAGGCATGGTTTGACTGAAACAGAAAACATGTTTAGAGAAGGGAAAGAGCTCCTGAGAAACCCGAAAGTAGGTCTAATCAACTAGTCGAGGGTTTTGACGAGGTGGAAGAGAGGGTTACAAAAAGAACGGTGGAAAGTGCATCGCTGCGCCGTAGAACACTTGGAGAATTTTAACTTGGTAAGTGTGAAAATGTCTTTCAAGTTCCATGCCAGGAATTTGTGAGCGCTTTAAATGGTACTTTCAGAAAATGCGTAGCTCTCGGGATGGTGGATGAATGCAGGAAGTAAGACCAGAGGCAGAAAAGCTAGGTAAGAACTCAAGGAGCACAAAGGAAATCAGGGATGAACATTTCAGGACATCAGGAGGCCAGCAGCTGCTACAGTCTTAAAAGCAGGTACTTTCCTCTTTGAAGCTTAAATACTTTACAGACCACTCAACAAATTAAGATGAGCAGTGTGGTCACCTATTTCTAAAGAATCAGCACCCACTGGAGAAATCCTTCACGTCGCTGTGATTTCCCCAAAGCCCAGCCCACGGTAGGCATTCGATACGTATTTATCAATTAACGAATGAATTATGGTATCTAGAGCCTCGTATAAATTAATGTGAAGGTATTTGTTTAAAGGAGATGAGTATAATTTTTAGTTTACATGAAGAAATATACACTGAGACAGTCAAGGAAGAAATAGCTGTATAATTTGGAAATATTAAATGCTAAGTGATTTCTTTTTAGCGTTCTATAAGCTAAAGGGGTTTTCAAATGTCTTTAGCTCTTTCAGATTTTTTCCTGAGAGACTATAAAAAGAGTGCAGTCTCCGTGAGTTTACCAGGGAAATGGATGAACAACGAGACTTGGTAAAGTGCTAGTTGGAATCTAATAACTCCCGATCGCTTTGTTACTACTTACTTGCATTCTATTTTCCCCCAGGATATTCTGGACCACTGAAGGAAATTCCTCCTGAAAGGTTCAACACCACAGCCGTCCCAAAGTACTATCAGTCACCCTGGGAACAGGCCATCAGCGGTGATCCAGAGCTTTTAGAGGCTTTATACCCTAAACTTTTCAAGCCTGAAGGGAAGGCAGAACTGCCTGACTACAGAAGCTTTAACAGGTAATTCAATTACTCTGGGCAGCATTACTGGCATGTAATGGCAACTTTTACCATCATGATACAGGGAACTAAATCCTCTGGTAGTAGATATTTTTATTTCTAGTGAAAAGTTTCTAAATCACAAGTGATTTATTCCTTAATCTAAGAAAAGACTAATTTTCTTTTTCAAACCATTTTATTAGAAGCGAATCCAGACATCACACCCTGCCATACTTCGATCATATCAGTTGTACAATCACTACCACAATCAATTTCAAAACATTTTCTCCCTTCTTGAACTCCTTGATATCTTGGCTATCTATCCAAACTTGGGTATATATAATTTTGGCCTAGTCACTTAAGGTCTTTTTTATATTAATGTATTCAACTGCAAAATCAGGAATTGCCCAAAGGTCTATGATGATATAGTTAAACCAAAGTCAAGCCAACTGCCATTGAGTCAACTTGGACTCATAATGACCCTATGTAGGGTCGCTAAGACCATAAACCTTTGTAGGAACAAGCAACTTCATGGCCCTGGTTCATAGCCCATTGCCTAACCCATAGTGTACCTAAGCCTCAGTACCTTTGAATGCATTATGTATATATGTTACCTAGTTAGAGAATGGATTCTTTTAATTTCACTACAACCATTTCACTCCCTTCAGTATCTTAAAGCATTCTCAGTGTTATTGAGGCATTATATGTTCAGCACTATAATTTTCACACATGTAATCTCCACTATGGGTCAGACAAAGCAGTTCAGAAAGCGACGCATCGCTGAGTTTGAGTCTGAAGAAAGGGGTTTAGCAGTCACTACCCAGATGAGAGAGGAGCCCTTCTAACTCCTCTAAAGCTGGGCAGCCTCGGACTCCCACAGGGGTAGTTCTACACTGCCCACGAGGCCCTTTCTGAGCCAGAATCAACTCCATGGCAGTTCCTCCACAGATAATCAAACTACAGCAAAACAGAAAGAAAGAAAGAAAGAAGGAAGGAAGGAAGGAAGGAAGGAAGGAAGGAAGGAAGGAAGGAAGGAAGGAAGGAAGGAAGGAAGGAATAATTCACTGCCATAGAAACAATCTGCCTCATGGCAACCCTACAGGACAAGGCAGAACTGCCCTGTGCTTTTCTGAGACTATAACTCCCTTCGCAAGCAGAAAGCCTCGTCTTTCTCCTGTGGAGCAGCAGGGGCTTTCGAAGTGCTGACCTCACAGTTAGCAACCCACACCTCTTCTCCACTACGTCACCGGACTCTAAAGATGACAAGGGGTAAAAACATTTTCAGTCAAAAATCTCTCTCTTAAAAATGTATGTGAGGAAGTAGAAAGATGACTCATTCCTTTTCAGCAGTATATTCCAAATCTTTTTTTTTTCTCACGCCCCTATTCCAAATCTTAACGTGGAAATTTTTTGCTTTGAATAAGAACTGAAGCTATTTTCTTAAAATTTTTACAAGCAGTCTCTCACTTTGACTATTTACTCTCCCTGTTAAGGGAGTCTGTTACATGTGTGTGCTGAGGGCAATAAAAATCCAAACAAACAGAATACAGCCCAATGGTGCCAAAGAAAAGAAACTCTGCTTTCCAAACAGCCACCTTTCGCTGGGTCAGGGGTAGGCGGTGAGAGCTAGTGATGGAATGAAAGGGTATGTTTTCATTTTCAAGAGAAGTCATTGCTTCACCGGCTGGAATGAGAAAAACAAAAACAAACAGAACTAGATAAAAATGGAAAAACATAAACCACTAAATGCCAAACCCAAATATTGGGTTTCAGTTTCAGAGGTGTATATCTTCTTTGGTTTCATACAGAGAAAGGAAAGATACATCTATGCAACTAAAATTCATTCTGGAATTAATAAACACGAGATGAGTTGGCCAAATTTAGCTTAATGCTTGCTGTTGGACAAGGAGGGTGGATTAGGAGGTTGGAATTTATTCAGAAGCAGAATGGAAAGATTTGAAGGATTTTGAAGTGGAGATACCAAGACACACAAGATATACTCTTCACCTTCAAACCCCTTAAAAAATGAAGCTCATTGCCATCAAGTCAGTTCTAAGTTATAGCGACCCTATAGGATAGGCTAGAACTGCCCCTGTGGGTTTCTGAGATTGCAACTCTTGACAGGAGCAGGGAGCCTCATCTCTCTCTCCCACAAAGAGTTTATAATTCTCAGAGGACCCAGAGAAATCTACAGTCTTCAAAAGAGAAGTGGACAATAAAGTACTGGGTCCTAAGTGCCCAGTGACTGACATAGAACCACTGGTGCTACGTGGATTTGGCTAAGACGCTCAGGGGAGGGAGAGCTGAAGGGAAGTTAGGACCAGAAGACCACAGGACACACATAGGTAGAGAGAAGCCTGGGAGGACACTATCTTAAGGACGAGAAGCATTGTTCGCAAAGGCAAAGAAACCATGTTTGAGATGAGCTCAGGGTACAGAGAACAGATTCTTTTAGTTCAAAACCAAGCGTTCATACAAAGAGGTCTTATATTAATTGGTGAAGAAGCATTTGCTCTATCCTAAAGTGGTGATACTGAAGTATAAATCCTTGTATCCAAATTCAAAAGGTTCTAACGATACTTAGAACACAATGACCATGCATTAAAATGTTTGTACTTCCTGCTAGAGGAATTTCATAATTAAGATTTCTTTTTCTCCCTTCTCAGAGTCGCCACCCCATTCGGAGGTTTTGAAAAAGCATCAAAAATGGTTAAATTCAAAGTTCCAGATTTTGAGCTGCTACTGCTGACAGATCCCAGGTTCCTGGCCTTTGCCAATCCCCTTTCTAGCAGACGGTCCTTTAATAGGACTCCAAAGGGATGGACATCGGAGAATATTCCTATCGTGATAACAACAGACGCAATAGAGGAGACCACCATACCAGAATCAGAAGACCTATGAAAAGGTGGTTGTGACTGGATATGCCGCAAAGCCTCTCAGCACGAAGTTCCTGCTCCATGATTCTATTTCCTGGCAAAGCGACGTACACTCTTCGTTAGTAGCAATAATTTAATAGCCATTTTTCTTTTTATAGCATTTAATTTCAATCTCAGACAGACTACTAATAAACAATCCAGAATCTTATTTTAAAAAAATCGAATGTGTCTTTATTCGTTGTTTGGTTTTCATCTGGTCTGGACAGGAACAAATATCCCTCCTTGCTCATTGTGGAACTTGTGACTGACAACAAAAGTGTTTCATTCCATTTAAGCAATTCCCATGCATGCTTTTCAAATGGAACCTAAAATCCAAATGCTGTGGCAGATGCGATAGTGCAAATTCACCCACCCTGCCCCTCCACCGGAGAAAGAGCTGGAGATCTGCTTCCAGAAAAATTACAGCCCGGAAAACCCTGTGGGAGAGTTCTCCTCTGTCACATAGGGTCACTAGGAGTCAAAAACTGATATGATGGCAAACAAGGACAACATTAAGTGAAGGAGAATGAGAGACGACTATGACTGGAGAGATGTTGTGCTGCGACAGGCTTAGTAGCTAAGAGGTACTCAGAAACAAATGCTCTGTGTGCTGACTAGGTTCAACCTCAGGTGTGCATTTTGAGAGGGGCAAGAACAAAGAAATTACACACTTACACGTATAAACAAATGAGACAAGAAAGAGCCGAAGAACGAAATTTAAATTGTCAGCGTTCTTTGCTGAATATTCAAATCCTGTTGAATTCTTTAAGCACAAGGGAGTACGTGCTATTAAACAACCTTACAGGGGCAGTTCTACTCTGTTCTGTAGGGTCACTGTCTGTTGGAATCAACTTGATGTCACGGGGTTTGGTTTTGGGTTATATCATTGTACAGAATTTGAATAAGTTAAAATGTAACTTTCAGACACCTTAGTTTTATGTACATGCTTGTGCTTATTTATTTTATTTTAATTTTAATAAATCATTTTGTTGGGGGCTCTTATAGCCCTTGCTTATCTATTTTAAAATAGTGATGCTGGCCTATGTGATAAATCATAGATAAAAGGCTCCCATCCTATCCGTTTTTATTTTAATCTTCTAAGAAATAAAAATTAGACACAACAATCTATCATATTTTGATGAAATAATTTACTCTTTATCAGGATCATGAGTTACTATTTTTAATTATGTTGAAATTTCATTACATAATTCCAATCATCTCCAAACAGTTACATGTTAAGTGTCACCAATCTTTCAACCATCAAAATGGGCTATATCAGTTAAATATATTAGATCTAGAAGAGGACTGCCCAGATTTTTAAATTTAAGATTGGGTATGAAATGATGGACTAAACCTCTGTTCACTCTCATATTTCTTCATTTTCTGGAAATGTCTATTAGTTCCCACTCAGCTGTCTGACACCTTTAGAAAGGCCAAAATTTCACCCTGAGTTGCTATACAATTATTCTGAAGAAATGTTGAATGGGTTTTCCATTGACCTGAAAACCAGTTAAATTTTTCCAAAGTCAGAAGAAATAGAATAGCCTTTTGAGAACAGCAGAAAGCCTCTTACACTTTCTCAATCACGTGTATCCATAGACAAGAAATATGGCAAGAAGGAGAAAAAATCAAAATGAAAGGCATGAAAATAATCTTGGTAGGTATTACTCGCTGCCAGGCACTATACACTGTTTTACAAAGGCTATTATATTTAATATTATTTTAATCTCATAATTTTCTTGAAAAGAAAGTACTATAAACAATCACCTGTGTGTGTGTGTGTGTGTGTGTGTGTGTATCTATGTGTATACACCTTATCATTGGGGCTGTCAAGGTGGTTTTAACTCACACTGACTCCATATGACACAGTAAAACTGTCCCATAGGGTTTCCTAGGCTGTAGTTTCTATGAGAGCAGACGGCAGGTGGGTTTGAACTGCCAACCGTTAGGTTAGTAGGTGCAAACTTAACTGTGGTGCCACCAGGCTCCACATAGATATTAACAACCCGCCAGGAATCTCCAGTTTCATATGACCACAGAGCACGTGGCTCAGAGTGGGTCTCCAGGCTTTCTTACTGGTTGTCCAGTTTTCCCAGGCTACTTTACTAATGAGGGTTCTGGTTTAAAACACTATGACACTTGTCTTTGAACTCCCTACTTTCTTCAATTTCCTCCCAAACTCCCCATTTTTCATCATTTAACTCACTATTTGAAAGGATCTGATAATGCAAATAACCAATTATTGCTTGTTACAAAGCAAGGCAAATGTAAACGACCATTCTTAGTCAAAATGATGTTGTATTGCATTTATTTAAAATTCTACATTTTTCTAAATAGACTCATTTATAAATGTTCTAGCAGCTAGGAAATGGAGAGAGCCAATTATTCTTGCAAAGGTTAATGTGGAGCACAATGTCCAGTCGTGAATATGGAAAGAACATCCTGAGCTTGCCAACTTAGGGCACAGCTGTACCAGCAGACTTATTAAGTCTGGAATTTCCTCACTCTTCTGCTTATGCAAGATAAAATGTACATGACATCACCAGTTTTTCAGCAACAACGCCTTCATTAAGCTTAGCAAAGTATTTCTCTGAATGCCCCTTTTCTTAGGAAGAACACGTTTGACCTCCAAGTGCTCTATTCAGTAGGAAGAAGGGCAATTCCGTTTCTATGACCAGGGGAAGGGTGCCAGTTTTGCCAGAAGAACAAGAAAGAGAAATCCTTTCCAAATGAACTGCTCTCCTCTGACCCCCCAAAATGAACTTTTGCACACTGCAAAATACATTAAATATTATTTTTGAAAACGATCGTCTTAAAATAATTCAACTTTCCAGAACCAGGAAAAAAATTAAGTCAAACTGCATAAGGATTCCAATGACTTAAACTAAATATTAGTATACAAATAAATGTGTGTCCCTAATTGAATTCCTTTAACAGAGGGGTTGGATGTCAAGACAGGATATAAGCTTCCCCTGGCTTCTCAACATCATGTGATTTCAACAGGAATATTCACTACATATGGAAAAGGAGAAAGAACACTATGTCCAAGGTATTTTATTTCAATCTAAATAAGAATCTGCTTATTATTCTGTTGTGTCTAATATTTTGAAATATAATTCAATGACAGCATAGGTAGGCTAGGGAATGGAGAGATTTCAGGAAATAAGACTGGAAAAAATCAAAAGAAAAATAGGAATTTTTAGATAAATCCAATGTCAAACCTTATTTTGAAACAACTGGCTGAAAAAAATAGTGCATAATCTTCAGTACTAGTGAGACAAACGTCATGGAGGGAAAAGGCACGCCGGAAGGAAGGCAGCTGAAAAGAAGTACAAACTAGGGGCCCGAAGGGGTCATTGTTTGCTTCTGTGGTTTCTCAAGCCCTCTTCGCCTTTAAGTAGTTTTGTTCTATAGTTATCCGATCATCTACTGCGGACTGTCATCTAAATAGATACCTAAATATAACCACTCATTTACAAATAATCCATAACAATTATTATATTTAAAGGTGCCTGCTTTAAAGTAAAAAAAAAAAAAAGTCTCCCTGCTGATCAGTCATAGATCAAAGGTAACATCTCAGACAAGTTCTTCACGCTCTCTTCTCTAGTTTTAGTCATGATCCTTTTACTGTTATATTTCAGTAATTTACTGTTATATTTCACATGTCTTCTTTTTAATAAGAGATCAGGATTGCCAGTACTTTCCTCTATTAGTATACTTTACCACTTCAGGAAATACATTACTACAATCAGAAGGGAGTAACCCAGGAATGAGCCTCCAGAGCTCGTCTTACCTTTTCTCACCGTGTCTTGTCTGTTTCTTCTTTTACTTCTTCTAACTCAAATGGCTGTGCATTCAAACACTTGTTTGGAATGTCTCAATTCAAGAAAAAACAGTGCACTGAGATTCTAATCTTCTGCACAATGATGTCCAGGGCACAATGAATAAAAGCAAGCACTCCAAACCCCGTGCCTTGGAGAGTCCCCTCCTTGCTAAAGAAATTAGGCATCTAAAAGCCACAGACATGGAAAAGTTATTCCTCTATGGACTGATGTTAAAACAAAAAGGAAAACTCACCTACATGGAATTAATCTGAATTACCTTGGAAAAACAAAAGAGAATATTTGCAATTTTCATATATACCCCTATTCTCAAGCTTTATATTTAAACCCAGTTCCTAATATCCATTTCAATTATATAAGAAAAAAATGGGACTAATGACAATTCTACAATAGAGTTGATAAACCTCAGGTCCCAAATATCCTGGGCAAGATGCTCTTCTGTGACTTAAAGCACTTCAAATTAGCATTTATTATTACGTTAAATGTGAACACTGCCCACATTTACTCAAGAGAATCATGCTCTTTACTTTTGATATACTGACAGAAATGTGAACATGTTATATGAATAATTCTATAAGTTTCCTTCCAAACTCTTCAAAACTCTATAAGGGGGTACCCCCACAAAACAGATTTTTTCTCAAAGCTATTTATTTATTTATTTATTTATTTATTTATTTATTTATTTATTTTAAAAACAACTTTATCACCTTCAAAGGACTTTCCATTACGCTTAATACATTTGTCAAATCTGCAATTCCATTCTTGGAAACATTTTTCAAACTCATCTGTTTGGATGACTAATAGCACTTCTCTTGATTTTTTTCTTCACCTTCTCTGCATCGTCAAATCTCTGTCCTCTCATTCACAGAAACAAAAAGAAGTCCCACAGTGCAAGATCAGGTGAGTAAGGTGTGTGGTCAAGAAATGCATGCTGGTTTTTGCCAAAAACTGGTGCACTGATATGGCTGCATGAGCAGGTGCATTGCCATGGTGGCGAAACCAGTCCCCTGTCTGCCACAAATCAGACCTTTCTCGTCGAACACTGTTACACTTTCATTTCAGAACCTCTGAATAGAAAGCTGGATTAACAGTCTGACCTGGTGGGATGAACTCCAGTGCACTATGAGAGTCAACATTTCCATCCATTTGGGAAGTTGTTGGACATCCAGAATGAGGTTTGTCATCAATTAACAGTTCACCTTTTTAAAAACAAGAAAACCACTCCCACACTTGAAATTTTCCCATTGTTCCATCCTTGTAAGCTGTGTTCTTCTTCACAACTGTTTCTGCGGCATTTTTCATGAGCAGGAAACAAAATTTCATAGCC